ATCCGAGAAAATGGTACGAGATTATATGATTTAATTAATTAACTTCTAAGCTTCATTAACATCTGGAATTGAAAGACCGGCCGGTAAGGACGTGTCAATCAGAGGACTGAATGAGTAGTTGAATTTGGTTCAAATTTGCTTTAGATAAGTACCTTGCACCCATCGCTACGTATGATTCAATTTATTATATAACAACACATATTTATTCGAATAATTAATCTAGTATTAATCTAAAAATAAAAAAAAACCTAATTCTAAACATGAGTTTCTTCATTTGTGTTCTGACTGTTGTAATCGTTACGCACATACAAGACATATGCGTAAACATGTTGTTGACTAGTGGCATTGTATTGGAAGCAAAGCTGGTATTTTCGTATGTTGTACATCTTTCCTTTCCAAGAACCGACAATTTCACCGAATAGTTATTTTTGCTGACTATGTAATTAGTTTTAACATTTGAAATTCCAACAAAGTGAACAAATATTGGGAAAAGAAGGAAAAAGTAGGAATATATAAAAACTAAAATTGAAATGTATTCAGTATTCTTGTTTGCAATCAAATAATTGGGATCAAGGTTCTTGTGAAATTAAGTTTTCTAACTTATAGACGTTCGAAAACTCTCTTTTTAAATAAACAAATTTTGTTAATATCGAACTTGTAAAGTCTAATCTCCTAGATATGCTGTGAAAATCTAATGATGGAGTAGAATATGAATCGATAGGAGAGTGATGAGGTCAATGCGAAGGTTCGAAAGGAATGGTAAATTTTTTGTTTTTGGCTTACTCGCTTCTCTAAACCATATAATGCATGTAAATGAAGTCAGTCGAACGTTTTTGTTAAAGAGTCGGTTCACTTGTCTTTACTTTGGATCGGGCCTATGTTCCTTAACATAGAGGCTAGAGTTATTGTTTTTTGTTTTTGGAACACAGGGATTTAGTACGTGATCTAGAACTTTCTAAGCGAAGCAGCGGTTTCGTAGTCCAAGACATCAACTTCAAAAGGGATGTTCTTAACACGGAGAATCTCGTGAAGCAGATGAGCAGTACCAATGTGGTCTCTAACCTCGTATAAGGATATTGCATTTGCCTCCACCACTTCACTGAATATGCTCGCAGAGATAACTTCTGCATCCATCTGCCATTACCATATATATGGCTCAAAATGTCAACTCCAGAGCTTGTAAAATTGGATCGTCCTGGTTCTCGTCATTTGTTGAATCAGCAGCAAACAGTTTTTTGCACCAGCCACTCGTTCACCAACGTACACTACAAGAAAACAGGCAAATTTCCGACGGT